AGTGAGTTAGCGCTGGTTACCAAGGAGAACCTGTTCAATTGTCAAGATTTTCATCCTTTCTGGTGCAAATGGAGCAATACCGCGATAGAAGTTGGCCAGGGGTACAATTTTTCGGAGGAAAGCATGTTTATGCAATGGGATAGGCAAACAAATTTTACAGTTAACTTTATTAGTGTAGCGTCCTGGGTATTAGTACCGAATTCGTTTTCTTTTATTAATGAAATGAGAGATGGAGCAAGTTTATCTACCGGTGAAAAAGATTTTTTTTCTCTCGGCATTAGATTTGCAAAACAGTATCTTATGAGCAAGTGACATATTCTTTCGGTTTCATTCGAATTGACACTGCTCTAAAGACTGTAAAATCTTAAGTTACAAAAACGTCATATCGCACGTCGAATGTACGGCGACAAATGTTTGAAGATACCAACCAAAAGCATGATATCTAAATAAAGAAAAAGAATTCCTCTCGTGAAAAGTTCTCACAAATTCTGATGACAAAAAAAATATTCTGAAGTTATAATTCGTTATGAGGAATAAATTTTGTTATGGATTTCTGATAGAGCATTTGCATATAAGAGTTGGGGGAATAAACTTTATTATCATGAACGAAGATATATTGCATACATTGGAATGTATGTGCATTAATGGTACATTACAATTTTTTGGTAAAACTGCACTTAAACTTTATCAATCTTATCAATGCTTCAAGCAAGAATGATATTTTAAAAAGACAAATGGAAAAGTCTTGTTTTTGGTTGAATATTTCATCGCTTTAGTTAACATATATTTGTGACTGAGCGACTTTAAGGTGTCTGTATTTTCTCAAACGCCGAGACAAACATTACATTTCGATACCGTTTAATTAAAAGAGAGTATAGGCTTAGTTATTTTAAGTATTGAAGTTATGATTAATTTCGAAAAAAATCTCTCTGAGACTGAATGAAAAATTCGCAAATGGGACGCAAAACAACGTACAATCAATTCAATACAACCTATTGTTGGATCGTATCTAGAGATAGTCTGACATGACTTGTGTATATACGACCAAACAATAGGTTGTATTAATTTACAAACATGATCATAAGAACGAAAGTGGAATCCTAGAAATGTTGGCATTAAAAAGGGTTTGTTAAAATTGTTGTAACATCAACTGAATTGTCAGTAGCTTGTCTCGATAAAAAACGATCGAATTAAAAGCATCCTATTCGAGTCGAGTACTCTACATTTTACCTAGTTAGAAATCGTCACTTCTGTTGCTTTCAGTTTCAGTGCTAGGTATTGAGGCCATTTGGTTTACTGCTTGATTTATATGGCAAGTTCAAATCAGCAGGCGATTGAACGGTTCTGTTGAGGACCTAAGCTGCATCGACTGACAAAGTTTGATGATTATAAGCCATTTAGTATCCAAACTATTAAAATAATTAAAACCATTACATTTCAAACGTAGGTCACAGTGACCTTTTTCAGATGATGTTCCTCCAGAACACAAGATGCATCACCTTCCAAGGTTTGATGATTCTTAGCCAGAAAGTACGAACCATTGCTTTATTCTCATTTTCTTCGTAGGAGCACATGTAAATTGTCATGGCATATTCGCAGAGCAATGGAAATCTGATAAGTGTATCTTTTGCTGAATTAGTGACAAAAAATAGATGACCCCACTTTCACTTCTTACTGATCAATCCATGAAGTTTTTGGGTTAGGTTGTTGCCCCCCCCCCCCCCCCCCCCTTCATATCAATTTGGGTCTGTCTGTCTGTAACACTTTCATTTTCACAAGATATCTCGAGAAGCCTTGGAGCCTTTTGCTATGAATTTTTACATAGCAGCTTCCTGTGGCCTAAGGAAGACCCCTTGATTTAGAGGTCAAAAGTTCAAAGGTCAGTACATTTTATTATTATTTTATTCCACACCTCCCAATGGCCTAAAGAAGACCTCTATTAATGTTGAGGTCAAAGGTCTAGGTAAAAAATTTATACATTATCTTTGTGTGTAAAACTTTTATTTCCGAGCAATATCTGAAGAAGCTTTTGCAAAGAAATTTTATACCATAACTTCCTATGGCCCAATCCATCCCTCGGAATGTGACCTGACCCCCACCCCACCCCCACCCCCAACACACACACTTTTTACATCTGCACATTTTTTCCTTAAGCAGGGGACAAATATTCTCTGAATTAGATTGTTGTCTTTGAACTGATCTTTTAAAACATGGAAAACTCAGTCCCAAATATAGATCTCAAAGCTCTTTGATTTGTGTTGTTTCTCTCTTTATTACTGACAGATTCGCGCGCGTTATGATCAAAATTTAACAAATTTGCATGTTTATCAACTTTACTTGTAACATACGAGGGTTGTCCCGTAAAATGTGGACAAAGCGTTTTTTTGAAAAGTAATGGGCGCAATAAGCTGAAAATTTCAGTAAATGTTTATTTATCATATTTAAGTGCATGATAATTTTTTTGATTAAATATAGGCAAAAATAAAGATTTTATGTATGCTGTGAATGTGTACGAGGTATTGTGTGTGCGCACGGTCAAAAAACCAAGGTTTTATTAAAGAATACACAAGTTTGGATTCAAAATAAAAGTTTTAAATACATAAGATTTGGATTAAAATTACACTAATTCAATTCCACAATTAATTTTGTAGTCTCTGTAAAAATTGTGTAAGGCATTTGCTTAATTTTTGGCAATTTCTCGGGCATTTGAAATTGGAAAGTGGTAAACACAACACACGAAAAATGGCGACGTTTTATGACGTTGTGTGTGTGAGAACAGTTCAGTTTTATTTCGATGTTGTAATGACACATAGAAGAAAAAAGATTATAAAAATATCCCCATACCTTAAGTATACAAATGAAATAGGAGTTTTCTTAGCGAAGTTTTTTTTATCGAGCCCCTGGGGAGTACAAAACATACGGACAAACTCCTAATGTAATAGCAAAAGACGCTGTCACAGTAGACCGCCGATATGAGATTTACTATTAGTTGAATGATGGTGAGAATATTGTCCGTAACTTACTAATAAATCTTCAGAAGATCGCATGAGGGTGCCATTTAAGACGTTCCTCGGCTGTTTTGGAGACTAAAGAATGTGTGTAATGAAATTTAAAATTAAGGCGTGACTCATGTGACTTCATTTTCAGCAAAGATAAAACGATGACGCTGTTTTAGACACTTTGACGTTATAATCCATGCGCCGTAAGGTCATACAATACATGGCATAAAATCTCATAATTTGTTTATTTATGCATATATTTATCTGAAATTTGTGTGTATATTACTGTGTGTGTGTGTAAATAATGGTGAAAATTTCAGTGTGTGTGTGTGTGTTTTTCACACTAGACAACTTGTCCACGATTTGTATGGACAACCCTCGTATTTATAAAACTTTAAACATTATGGTGTAATAAAGTGCCACGCCACAGCATGATACGCCCGTCAAAAAATTAAAATTAACTAAATGGTTTAGAGTGCAAGAAAATCATGTCAACCTTGATTCTAAAATTTCCATAATTTTTTCTAATTCCTTAATATATTTGTTTATCCATCCCCTGTGGTGTAGGCATTAATCATAGCATCATTGATAGATTTCTATACTGGTTGTATTAGACCTTGTCAAATGCCCATCATATTAAACAATATCAAATTACCGGTAGTCTTAACAACTTAATCTATACCAAATTAATTTTGAAAATAAAATGCTGGCCATCAAATGACATATGCTATTTCAACTGACCAGCAGTTCTTCTGTCTAATTCCCAAAGGGTAACAGATAAGAAGATGCTGGCTAGCCTTCCTAAATTGAACTCATTAATTAATCTTTGACTGGATGCTTGTCTACTCATTACTTTAGATGAATGAATCTGAACTCTCTACCATAAAATATTTTTAAAAATATATAAAATACTCAATGATTTTTTTTTTTTAACATTTAATGTCAAAAAGATTTTAATATGGGATTTCTATGGAAAATGGACATGCTGACTCCAATCCTATGAAATTAGTTTTTTAGATTAATCATATTATATAATATCATATCAGTTTATTATGCAAAATCAAATTAGTGTTAATTACTTTTCATCAAATTCATTTAAATTAGGCTAGCCAACAAGAGCTATTTTTAATCCACCAGGCTTACCCATCTGCCCAATTCCCAAAGGGATATAGATAGCATCGATGCTCTCCAGTTTGCTCCTCACACTAAACTCATTAATTTCTCTCTAATTTGACATGCAACTTTCTGTTATCAAAACTCTTGACCAGTGCTTGATAATTACACTCATGGGAGACATGGGATTTCTCTAACATACATTATATTTGTTATAGATTGCTGTCAAGTATATGCTGAAAAAAATAAGTATTTTCTTGATTTAACACTTTTTTAATAAGGATACAAATATATTTTTACATTTTTCAGGATTATGAAATTCAAAATTTAAAAAACTTAGTTTTTTAAAAAAATTCACTTAAATTAAAGGTCACAGTGACCTTGAAATAAGTCGCGACACACCTTCTACCCAAGATGTATACATTTCCCAAGTTTGATAGTTCTAGGTCTAATAGTTTACAAGTTATGAGCCGGACAGGATTTTTCCATATTTGGCCATAGCATCTTAATTAAAGGTCACAGCGACCTACTTTTTGCGCGCGACACACCGTCTACCCAAGAAGTATCAGTTGACAAAGTTTGATAATCCTAGGCCTAATAGTATTGAAGTTATGAGCCGGACAGGAATGGACAGACAGACGGACGGACGGACGGACGGACGGACATGAAGCCTATAACATAATACGTCCCGTCTTAAGACGGGCGTATAAAAATGCATTTGAAATTTATACAATATAAAAAAAAAATAAATAAATACATGTACATGAAGTCTAATTTCTGTTAAAATTCTTAGCATCTATTGACAATGTAAATTAATTCTGGAAAAAAAAATACATATCAGACCGAAGTACACTTCAGAAAATAGTATGAAATTCCTTTAAGACATACCTGAGGAAGATCATTTAGACTGGAGTACTTTTGTTTCAAGTAGACCCCATTAACAGCTTCTACTGCTAAATGATAACAAAATTGCTCTCTCCTACACTGAACATCTGCAAAGAATACGTTAATTTGTATGTAAATTATTTGGTGTACATGTACCAACGAAGCATTGCGAACATATTAAAAACAGAATCTGAAAAAAAATACAACTATCTGACACAGCATTCTTTGACCAATACCCACTTATCCTTGAAATAACAGCAATAAATAGCATATCACTGTAATATGAATAAAACTAAAAGTATACTATAAAATCACAAATTTTCGTGTGGATTTGAATTCGTGGATGAAGAATTGTTGAGAACGTAACATGTAACATTTTACATTTCATGGCGGACATAAATTCGTGGGTGTGTTCATACCTTGAAAACAATGAAAATTAAACCCCCATGAAAATTAGTGATTTCACAGTATATGCAAGAGATCCATGAGAATTCCGTAAATTTAAAAAAAAAATCATTTCTAGATACCTTTGTCACAGGTCATCATTTCAATGGACGTTATTTTTTCCTCTTCATCGTGACTTATTTCTAGTCTTAGTTTTCTTTTGCTGAACATAAAAGTTTTATGACCACTTCTGAAACTAGACTCATCAAAATACCATCCACTCATTCTGAAATATCAAAATACAAGTTTTTTTTTTCAGATTTAAGTACATTGTACATCTCTATGGCACAAAACAAGGTTATATAAAAAAAAAAGTAAGCCAGAAATCCTTTAGAAGCTAAGGAAAAAAGTACCTTCAATGCATGTGAACCTTCTAAATTTTTTCTTTTATTTTCACAAATTCACCTTTAAAAAATTTAAAATAAAGAATTGCTAAATTTGGAAACAGACCCATATAAAAGTTGAATTTCGTTGTGTATTTTCCGTGCCTGGTTTTGAAGTTCCTGCATGTTTTCTTTTTGTGACTCCTGTCTCACTTTTTCTGACAACTTCTGAGCAAGAGCTGCATGCTCCTCAGCCAGCCTTCTGTTAGCCCTGAAAAATATAGTACTGTAGAAGTACTTTTTTCCGCTTGGTATCAATTTACGCTATGTATGCGGTCACAAATTTGCTGCGGAAATTGGTCCCATTTAACTTATTAATCATATACATGTACTTATAAGGCATATAATGAGAGTCTTTAGTAATCCGCATAATTTTCTACCAGCGGATTGAACAAAAGAGATTCCGCGGAATTATGACCCAGAGGAAAAAAAGTATGTCTACAGTATCTCTGATTAAACATTCATAATTTTGTAAAACAGGGGTAAAATTTCTTCAAGCCTTTTATATTACGAGTTTCACGACATGCCTGTTTATATATTAAATTTATAGATAACGTGAAAATATCAAAAAACTTCAAAGTGAATTATCCCCCCTACCCCTTTCATCCCAAGGCAGGCCAGCTCTAAACCCAAACTTTGCTCAAATATTCTTCTATTTATAAACCTTTCCAATGGTCCTAGTTGTTTGGTTTTTTTTTTTAGAATACAATTACCCTAAAGACTATCAGACAATACTATACTACACAAGATGATACATGTATATGGAACTTACTCAGCCATACTCATTTCTTCATTCTTCATATTTGTTAAATCTGTCAAAAGAAAGGTAATGGAGATTTGATTTGATAAAATACACTGTAAATAGAGTACAATAGTGGTTCAAATACATATACATATGATATGATGTGTGATACATATACTATATGGTGTATTTACATTTACATATTTCCTATGTGTACATATTAGCTGGCCTTGCGGCGAAAAATAATGTTAAATATGAAAGTTTGCATCAATAATGACAACTTTTCTCATTTGTTTACACAGTCAGCACTACACCAATTATTACAAATACTTTTTGTTACAATTTTCCTACACGGAAAAGATAAAAAAAATTTCACTTTAAATCTTTAAGTAGTAAAATCTTAGAATCAGCATTGACTTAAAAAATTTTCCAATACCTACAATGAATTTTCTGAAGAGATTTAAGGGGATGAAGGATGTATGGTCACGTGACTCAGTTGATTTACGTCATAATCTCTGATAAAATATGTACAAAACGAGATTGAAACCACAGTTCTTGTATAATTTTTTTGACTGTTTGTTTGCGTTCACCATCTGGTATAAAAATATCTGAAAACATTCAAAATTTCTTGCAAATATTATCAAATTACGGAATAGATTAATCCACTCTGCCGTTTCCCTACTCTGCGCGTCCAGTGCGTCTTTGACGTCATAGTGGATCTCTTAGTTCAGTAAGATCATACACGGTAAAAACGGGTAGTATAAAATCATAAAAACCGGCCATAATATGTACATGGTAGGGTATTTTGTAAATTTCAGAACGCAAAAAATATTTTTACATGGTTGTTGACGGAAAAGTTCTGTGGGTTTGTCTTATTTCGCTTATTTCAGGAATGTGTGACGTCATAGTTGGGTTTTCCCGTACTCGAGAAATGTAAACATGACACGTTTTTTTCATGATCATGACTCGTTTAACTTTGTCCCGTGCAATATTGAGCTCAGCTTCACCAATCGATATTTTTACAGTTAATCAATACAATGACGACCTTGAACTTCGACTTATTAAATTTTCAAATATTGAATGATAGGATTTTTTGCAAATTAATTTTTTTATGGTTTAAGTTGTCCTAAAAAAGTCGTAAATTTCCGTCTCCAGATATGGTGTTAGAAAAGAATCTTGCTTTTTCGAATTTTTAACCCTATTCATACTCTAAAATATTTTAAAAGACACATTTCCGCTGGTATATTTTTTATCTATGATGAAAAATTTCAATTATTGACCGAGTAATGGACCCAGAAACACGGAGAATAAAAACTCCGCTCAGACACTGTGGGGTATGGTATTTGTCACTCAATATCTCAGAAATAAGTCAAGAAACCTATTGATATGTCTGCTTTATAGTATGTAGGACATACTAAATAAGATATATACAAAATATGAAAAAAATTAAATGACAGGTATTTTTTCAGCTAAAGGTCCTTCATCCCCTTAAGACCTTGCAAGTTGTACACATATAGGAATACCGGTACATAAAATTGTGAGATCATGCAATAGTAAACTCACCTGCTTGTTTGTTCTGTATCTCGTCCTTTAATGCCAAATACTCTTGCATTTCCTCCTCTGATGGAACAGGAGTTTGTTTCATTTCTAATATTTCTTCATCCATATCTGACAACTCTGCAATAATGTGTACAAGTAATTCCATTAAGACAAGCATGTGCATGCTTCAGCCTTGTACATGTGGCATATTTTTCTATAAAATGTTGCTGAAAAAATACAAGTCATGTGACATATAGAGTAGTTTTATATAATGCAACAAAGCTTTAAACCCACATACTCCTTTCAAGCACTGTATATCAGATCTGTACATATAAAGCTAAATGTTTAAGAAATAAAGATGGGATTTCTTTACAAAAACTTAGATTTAAGTACAGTCTACTTTTATTGTTTTCTCTTTTACCTTGGTTTACAAGTTCTATGTTTTGCATAGCATCTGTGGCCATCTGAAGAATTTCTCCCACTTCTAAATTCAGCTTCCCAATGCCTTCCTGTTTGAAAGAAAATGGTGATTATTGGCTGTAATTATGAAAGGCTATTATTTATTTTTCATTTTGGGAGAAAAAAATCAAAGATTTAGATTAAAAAAGTATTTTTTTTAATTTATAGAAAGACTTTGCACTATGCAGTTACTTTTACGTACACAAAAGCTTGTGTCATTTATGTAAGATGATATTGTAACGAGCATTCGTTAGTGTTCTCTGTTAAGTAGGACGATTACCAAAAAAAGTTTCTCAGTTTTAGCAAAAAAAGTCTTGTTTATATTTTTTGGAAAATCTTACATAAAATTAATGCTGCAGGAACTGTCGTTTATAGTTTATTTTTTTCTTTCCTCTTCTAAAATACTTATATTTCCATAACAAGCTCAAAATCAAAAAACATATGTCAAAACATATATGTTTACAAAATTCCTTTAATCATTTGCTAAGAATCAAAATCTGCATTGATTTGAAAATCAGAGAGTAAATACACTTTTGGTAAAAAAATTATCTGCCTCTAGTGTCAAGGAAATCACCCCACTAGTAATTTTTGCTTCAAATTCATGTTAACACTTGTAAATATTGATGCTCGCAAAATTTCACAAAACTAGACACCCATTGAGATTTTCTATTGATAGAAATACATGTACTTCACAGATAATCCATTGTATCACACTGACCTGAATTTTTTGTAATTCTAAAGTAGCTGCTTGTAATGAGGCCTTTTTCCATTCAATTTTTCCGAGTCTGGTACACACATTACTCATGGCTACCATCTTCTCCCTTAATTCTACTTTCTGTAAAATCATACAGTAAAACTCGGTTATAACGAGGTCGCTGGGACCTTTGAAATTACTTCGCTATATCCGTAATTCATTATATATCCATATAAGAAATTCGTTAATTTTATATTGCTGGGGATCCAAGATAACTTCGCTATATCCATGAATTCAAAATATCCGTGTTCGTACTAAGCAAGTTTTACTGCATAACACAATTTTCTGTACACAAACAACAAATATTAAGTAGTTGGTAAGGTTAGTAGACGAACTGGCCAACACGCTCTTATAACATTCATGAAATTAAACAAATGAAGATATATATGACTCCAGTAAAAATTTTGTAAGCAATCACTTAAAATTATTTACAATTTGATATATGCAGAAATAAAAGGTTTTTGTGTATGAATTACAGTGTTATTCTGAGAGTCATCCTAAAAGGGGACCATAAAGAGTTTTTGACCTACATGTACTTATGCATGGTGTAAAATAAATTATATACATGTGTCTCATTTATGTAAATGCATGAACATGTACATGTATATATATATATGTAATATCTCCCATATTTACAGCACACTGAAATTTTGTCCATCTATACCTGAGCTGGGCTGCAGGTCTGGGCGTAGTGAAAAATTTCAGGTGGATCTGTCAGCCATTTCTCCTCCAATTCCTCTATTTCTACCTTCTTCCTGTAAGATTATCACATGTATTTAACACATTTAGCATTTCTATCCTTCATCTGGTTCAAGTTCTCAATAAAAATCAATCTAATTAAAAATTTCCCACACATTTACGACATTAATTTACACCCATGTTCAAATAAAATTTCTTTCCTCAATTATCCATATTAACACTGTTGACCAACACAAACAGATAGGCTAAAATTATATGCAATATTTTTTTATCTTTAGGACATACTATAATGCATAGTAACAGTCTACGCGAAAGTTGAAAATTGTTACCAGACAAAATGTCTGGTAAAAATAAAATTTTTACCAGACCAAGCAATTTTTTACCAGACCGACTTTATTTCCTTTAAATCCATACATCATTATGATACTAAGATTGAGAGGGTGGTGGGATGGGGTTAATTCTCACTGTGAAATTTAACCTTATTGTTAAATGAATTCAGAGTGAAATGGACATGTTAACTATTTATAATTTTCCTTTGTTAAAGGTATCTATACAATTGCATGTATTTTTTTCCTTCATATTTGACTTGTACAACATACACTGTATCAAAAAAAATTCTTAAATTTAATATGCACTTTCAATGCATATTTATTTTTCCTGAAACAACTCATTATGGTTACTCAAGTTTGATGATCATTTGAAAAAAAATTCCCAACTAAATCTACGTATGAGCTATCTAAATATTTTCCCAACCAAATCTACGTCTGAGCTATCTAAAGATCTCTAACCCTTGACAGAGGAAATTCGAATTAGAATAAAAACGATCATGACAGGGTTGTAATATATAAAAATTAATCAGATATTACTGCTAAATTGGTCAAATTAAGGACATTTGTGGGGAATTGGACCATGTTTACCTCTTAATTTAGATTTATTTGGCCTTATTTTTTACCAGACATTCGGTCCTGTAAAATGATTTTTTTTACCGACCCGATCTAAATTGTACCGGTAAAAACCGACGGTCCGGTGACTTTCGCATAGACTGTAGTAAGCTATTCAGATATTGAGTGAGGTTTAGTATTCCTATGTTACATGTATATTGCATGTAAGTGTTTTACCGTAACAAGATACAAAAGAGTGTTATATGAAAGATTGTCAAACAACTGCTAACTTCATAAATATACATGTACCATGCTTGCACTCTGACACAAAATACCTGTAAATTTTAACCCAAAAAAAAATCAGACTCTTTAATTTTACATTCATACTTTTCAACTTCTGCCTTCATTTGAGCATTGATTTCCATCTGAGCTTCAATATGGGGCTTCACTGTTAATTCAGCCAGTAGTTTGCTCTTCAGGTCATCACAAAGTATTTCCTGTTGAGAAAAAAGAAGTACATATTTGATTATACTGTACATGTAACACAAGAGGCCCATGGGCCACATAGCTCACCTGAGTAACTTGGGTGATGCAGTTCTTTTACCAGATTCCCCCTCTTGCTATACCTATCATGCCCACTACCCCCTTCCCTTTTATGATTTTAAAACTTTAGAATCTACACTACCCCAGGATGCTTCCACTTAAGTTTCAGCTTTCCTTGCCCAGTGGTTCTTGAAAAGAAGATTTTTAAAGATTTGTTGTATATATTTCTATGTAAAACTTGGATTCCCTACTGTGGCCCCGCCCTACCCCCGGGGGTCATGATTTTAACAATTTAATATCTACACTACCCGAGGATGCTTCGATATGAGTTTCAGCTTTCATGGCCCAGTGGTTCTTGAGAAGAAGATTTTTAAAGATTTGTTCTATATATTTCTATGTAAAAATTGGATTCCCTATTGTGGCCCCGCCCTACCCCCAGGGATCATGATTTTAACAATTTAATATCTACACTACGTAAGGATGCTTCCACATTAGTTTCAGCTTTCATGGCCCAGTGGTTCTTGAGCAGAAGATTTTTAAAGATTTGTTGTATATATTTCTATGTAAAACTTGGATTCCCTATTGTGGCCCCGCCCTACCCCCGGGGGTCATGATTTTAACAATTTAATATCTACACTACCCATGGATGCTTCCACATAAGTTTCAGCTTTCTTGGCCCAGTGGTTCTTGAGAAGAAGATTTTTTAGTGACCCCACCCTATTTTTGTCTTTTTTTTTTATTATCTCCCCTTGTGAGGGGACTTGGCCCTTCATTTTAACAATTTAAACTCCCCTTCACCCAAGGATGCTTTGTACCAAGTTTGGTTAAAATTGGCCCATTGGTTCTTGAGAAGAAGTCAAAAATGTGAAAAGTTTACAGACGGACAAACGGACAGACAGCTAGACGGACGGACGGACGACGGACAAAATGTGATCAGAAAAGCTCACTTGAGCCTTCGGCTCAGGTGAGCTAACAAGAAAATGAAACATGATTATATATGCAATAAGAACTTATATTTACATTCAGTGTAATTTTCTTTATGAAATCCACTAGAAATCCATGACGTTCAAATCTCTATAACACACGCGAAACCTTGTCACCGCACGTTAGAATACACAGTAGGAACTATCTGCATTTTTAATACTTTATGAACACCAAAATGTACATTGTTTGACACAACTTAATTTTAAAAAATTAACCCTGTTGAATTAACGTAAAAATACAACAAATGTGCTTTAAAATTAATTTGTCACTTTTTCTCCTCTCAATGTTCGTTTGCATTATTTAAATTTACGACGTCACAAACGGCTCTTACGTCTATAAAGCACACCAGTTTTGAAGCGCGCTAAATTCACATCAAAGATTACCGAAATAAACACTTATGAAGAGGAAGAATTAAAGAATGTAAATATAAGTATTGAATTCATATTTTGGGATGTCTTCGGTCATATAACATACCTGGCAGTGCCGACAAATTATCATACCGCGCTAATGCGCGTTATTCAATTTGTCGGCACGGCCAGGTGTGTTATAGGACCGAAGACATCCTAAAATATGAATTCAATGCTTAAATATATGCAATAAAAACTTCAAAAAATCCTGTGAAAGCACCAATTTTCATGGGTGATTAATTTACATTTTCATGGCATGAGAGACCCACAAAATCATATCCTCCATGAAATGTAAATTTTTTAATGCTATATTTTTTCAACCACAAGTCCCCTTAAACTAACATATTTTCCTCATATCATGAAAATTTTACCCCATAAATTTTTTTTACAGTACATGTATATATACAAAATAGATTTTGTTCAAAAACTTCATCAGATGCCTGAAAGCTACACAGAGTTACCTCCTCCTGGACTAAGCTGCATCTGGTTCTGCGCAGTTCGTAAAGTTTGGAGGCTTTGAGACAGGAGGGCTTGACGACCTGGAGGTAATTACACAGAGACAGGGCTGTGGTGGGGCCGGTCCAGATATCATCCTATGTCATAAACAATAAAATCATAGATATAATTCTCATTTAAACCCGTATTTGAATTCTTTACAATTTTTTAGTGCCCAAGAAAGAAAAGTTACTTAATTTTATTTGTTATACTTGGAAAACCCCAAAAAAATGAATCCTATGATTATATGCAGTATCTGAACTTTGTCTTTATATTTACATGGTATTTCATACCTGAGTAATGTCACATTCCACTGCGGTCTTGTTGATGGATAATTGGGAAATGAGGGACTCTTCTACAGCTGTTGTATTGTTACGGGGCATGGTGATGTTGTCACAGTCCTTATTAAGAAGTGCCTGGGTGGAGTCTAAGGGTGATGCTTTAAAGTAATACCCAGAGATTAAGTTTTTTGTAAAGTAAAACACTTGTCACATGTACATACATGTATTTGAAACCCTTTCTTGTGCCCCCTAAAATATGGGGGAATATCCCACTTAATCAATTTCATGTGTACAATGTAAAGGCTAATGTGCTTGTCTGTATATCATTTTAACATTAAAGCTAAATTTGATTTTAAAGAGCTCTAAATATATCTTGAAGATCTTTTAACCTATTTCACGTCCCCCAAAATGACTCTTGGTGGCCTTATAATTTAGTGACATGTACAAACTTTTGAGTCTTTTACTGTTGTCCATCTTTAAAGTCGCTTGGTCCGATTCTAATCGCTAAAAATATACATTCGTTTTTCTTTTTGAAAAATAATTGTCCATAATTTATTCCAACTTCTGTCAAATTATATCCCCAAAGTTTTTTTCTTTTTAAAGATATCAAAATTCAAAAGTTAAAAAAATAATTTTTGTTAGGTCACACAAAAAATAATCCTTTGTTGACATTTGTTGACATTGCGTGAAATCACCTTCAAAAAATTAAATTTATCGCTTACATGTATAACTCATGAAGAACAAACCCGAGCATTTTTTCCACATGGGCAATATTCTAGCCCTCATTACTAAACTCCCTTTTTAAAAAATCTTTAAGAATATCTGATTTTCCTCTATTCTGTAAATATGCATATTAATATAAAAATTACTATGGATTATATTCAATTAATTTCTTAATTTTTAAAAGATATATCATGACTTAGGATTCTACTAATAGAAAAAAAAAAATACTCGGGTTTGAATTCTCTTCATAACTAGATATAACCGATAAAAGTATTTTTTTCAAAGGTGAAATCAAAACAGATCTTAACTTCCCGTCAGGAACTGCTGTTTGTCAACAAGGTTTTTGGTCTATGTTTTCCATGTAAGGATTGTTGTAATAAACTATTAAATCAATCTTATAATTAATTTTTTATATATTATCTATGTAATGACATACTTTTATTGTTTAAGATAATATGTGCCTGTTTCGGATGAAGCGGCTTTAATACTGTATACAGGGAAATTTTCGCCCCCGTTTTATTTTTGCCCCTTTCGCCCTCTTCCTGATTGGGGGAATTTAAAATGGTGCGAATTAAAATTACACAGCATAATTTCTTAAACAAAACTAACACTGACTTTAACAAACATGAATCTTCCCTACAAAAGGATGATTCCTTTCATTAAACATGTCTTACCAATGGTTGAGGTACTTTCAGGTCTAAAGGATGTAACAGTAGAATTCAGAGTGGCATCTGTAAACAAATTCTCAGGTGGCCCCTGCTCAAGAAGTCCAACTTCCATATTAGCTTCCATCATAAGACCTACAAAGTACAAAATACATGTATATATTCAAGTTTAAGCATTATCAATAAATGTATAAATGTACACTGTATCAGGTACATTATTAAGTGAGAATCAAGATTTATTTGATAAGCAAATAAAAATTGTTTTAAAGAAAATCACTCTTTTAAAAATTATTAGTACCTACACATATTATAAAGATAAATCAATGAATATATGGACAAACAAGCCCCCCCCCCAATAGGTTTAATGTATTTTAAATGTAACTGATTGTAGAGATCTGGAAATATTTAACTTACTTAATGGTTTATCATCTGTCTTTTGTGTCCCATTTAAATTCATATTGGATTCCCCTTCTGCCCAAATACTGTCAGTTAATTTGGGTAATCCAGCAACATCATTTCCTTCTAATTTATTTTTCACTGATATACATGTAAGTGATGCTGTTGTTATCTTGGTTTCTTCCATAGCCCCACTGTTGTTACCAAAAGTAAGGGTTACGTTACTACCAGTAATTGTTGGCAATTTCTCAACTGTCTCGGAAACCATTTGACTTTGGGCAGCAACCCCTGAAGCAAAAGCCAATGGTTCATTGTCACTGATCAAGTTAGTAGTTACAGGTTTTGTTTCATCCATAGCTGCACTTTTATCAGCAAATAAAACTGTTTTGTTTTCTGCAACTTTGAGCAGATCTGAAATCTCAGGCTTCGATATGATGTTTTGTTTGGAGCCTATCTCGATATTGGCGGTCACCATCTTTGTTTCTTCCAGCCAATCACTTTTATTGCTGAACATCAGTGTTTTATTTTCCCCCTGTCTCTCTACATTTTCACTCTGGCTTGCTATGACATTGTCCTTGACTACTGACAAACTCTCGACTGGTTTCATCAAGATGTCATCAAATTTAGTTGTATGTTCCTTGAGGAGGTTCTTCAGATCTGCCAGAGTTCTAGTGTTTCCATCACCTTTGTCAATGACCATATCCTCATCACACCTTTCCTTTTCTGTGGATTCAACCAATGGTTCTGTTCTCTTTGCAGCAAATACATTTTCTGCTTGTGGAGTGGTTGTATTGTCTGTATCAGTTTTCTTGATATTAAAGCTAATTTCTGAATCATTATCAGAATCAGCCTCTTCCATTTCATGCACCTTGTTTTCATACTCTTTCGAAAATAATGAAGCTACAACTTGCTGTTCCCCATCTTGCACATGATTTCTAGACTTCTCTATCTGCTCTCCCATTCCATTTACTTCTTCTTTCCTACCTCCTTTTGTTGAATCCTCTACCTCAATTACTCCAGTTAGAGGTTTTGTTTCTTCCATTAAACTGAGAGTCTTTGTCTTCTCATTGGACTGTGCCTCTGCCATCCAAATTCCTCCTGTTAGAGCCCTAGTTTCTTCCATGTTGTCCTCCTTTGTAACTTTCTTCGTTTCTTCTCCATCTTGTTTGAAGGAATTCACAATGGAATCACCCTTGCCTGACTTGTCACCACTTGCTTCCGGGCCAGTAAAAATTCCCCCCGTTAGTGCCTTAGTTTCTTCCATATTGTCTTCCTTTCCAAAAATTTGCATTTTCTCCCAGTCCTGATTCAAACTCTTCCCAACCTGATTTCTGCTTTCTATCACCCCAAAACTTCTGTCTGAGCCGGTCCAAATTTCTCCAAGCAGAGCTTTAGTCTCTTCCATGCTATCCTCCTTTCCAAATATCTTTGTTTCCTCTCCTTGTTTGAAAACACTTCCTAAGGAGTTTCTGATGTCTGTCTTCCCAACACTTCTTTCAAGGTCTGTCCAAATTCCTCCAGTCAAAGCTTTGGTTTCCTCCATACTATCCCCCTTTCCAAATATCTTTGTCTCCTCCTTGCTTTGCTTAAACTGACTCTGTAATGAGCCTTTACTGTCTGTATTTTCGACATTACTTTCCATTGCAGTCCAAATTCCGCCTGTCAGAGCTTTAGTTTCTTCCATGTTATCATCTTTCACAAATATCTTTGTTTCCTCCCAACCTTGCTGGAAGGGTTTTTCAACTCCTTGACTATTGAACATCACCCCACCATCTCTATCCGATCCCATCAAAATTTCACCCTTGAGCACTCTCGTTTCTTCCATGTTTCCACCTGTACTGTATAGGCGAGTTTTCTCTCTTTCTTTCATATGAATTTCCTCCTCTGTCCAAATTCCCCCTGAAATTAATTTTGTTTCCTCCATAGCATCCCCTCCATGAAAGACTTGTGTCACTTCAGAGTTGCTTTCCACATGAATTTTTTCCACTACGTTGTGATGTTTCTGTATCATATCTAAACTGTGATGATCCCTCTTTTCCATTGTCCATATGGTGTTGTCCAGAACTGCTGTCTCATCCATACCATCCCCTGAAGCAAAGACCTGGGTTCTTTCAAACTCGGAAGGGGTAGAATGTGCTGACCGCAAATTTTCAATGAAATCTTTGTTCGGGTTTTTCAGGAGCGACTGAAGAAATCCAGTAGCTTTGGGTTTCTCTAAATCAGACTGATAGTTAAGTTCACTTGCTAAATCAGCTGTCAAGTTTTCAGCAGTTCCTGAGCTAAGAAGTGCTGGTTTTTGAGAAGATGGCACTAATGTTAGAGGTGCTCTCTTGGCTACACTCAGTTGACTTGACAGAGTTGTGGTTCCTGATACGAGACTAGACATCGTGGATTGCATAGAACAGCTGTAACGATTCATAGTTGTATAAACGTACGTATCGGGGTCCCCTTGTGTTTTGGCATGAAATAACTTTTCTGGTGTCTCTATCTGTAAACTGGTACTGAAAAAAATTCACATACTAAGATATATTAATATACAGTGTAGATATCATTCAAAATATGTTTTCATTGGAAATTTTCTCCTTTCCCCTTCAAGGTGCTCGATTTATCTCTAATTGTATATACATGTAAATGCATATCTTTCATAAAACTCTCATAAAGCTCTGGGGAGCTAATAATTGGAGTTGGAATTTTTTTAAAACTGGGATTACCATGTGCAATGTTTTAGAATATGCCAGTGTTACCTTTTTGTCCTCTTTTCAGATGAAATCAGACTTTGAAGAAATTTGTGGTCCACTCTGCTCTTGCTTTTCAGTTCCTCAAAGTCATCCGGAGGTTCGTCGGATAATCCGATTAATCCGGTCAGCTCCATCTCGTCATTCATGACCAGGGTGTGGTTAATGGGATCCACTGGGACTCCCAAGGGTTGGTCCTCCTCAAACGGGATTTCCTGCACATCCTAGGAATTTAAATCCCAATACATCAATTCACTGGTCTAATATTAATACAATCCATTAAATAAACTCTATCATACTGTGATATTTTTTCATCGAAATTATTAAAATCATTGTACAAAAATACAAATAAACGAGATTAAGATTTTTTTTCCTTTAAAATACAAATTCATGCAGATGATGCCTGCTTGAATTATCTCAGTATTGTGATTTCATTTATTCACAATGGTATCAAATTCTACAGTGTATATTTCTTATTTTTGCCAAAAAGATAACTTTTGTTGATGTGTCAGTTTGTATGCTGCTAATTTTCTTTTCTATAATTTGTACATGCAATTCATTGATCACCTGCATGTATTTTGTTTTGTTAAAAATAAAACTTCAAGAAGAGTTTTTACCTCATCTGTGAAACCTGGATGCTGTATTGAACCTGTTAGAAGCTTGTCTAGGCCTGTAAATAAATAAATACCAAAAATAAAATGCATATCTATAGAAATACAGGTATCACTAAAACGCAAAGGATTTTCTTAAAATGCATGGATCTATACATCCTCACAATGTCAAGGGTTTATGATGTCAGTCCACCACTAATTGTACAGAGAGGCATGGCCGTTGAGTCGGCCACGCCTCTCTGTATAATAAGTGGAGTTCCGATGAGGATGGGATCTATACAGGTGTGTAGTGTGTACTATGTTTATCACTGTAAAGGATCTAAATAAGTTCTATTTATTTTGACGTGCAAGAAATATCATAATTTTGCAGCCATTCATAATGGCTCTATTAATAAAATAATAGCTGAAGTTTGTTTATGAATGTTTATTACCTGAAATCTCTGGTTTTCCCTGTTCTATGGTACTGAAAATAAATTCAATCATAAAATTTAATGTTTTGATTTTACTATGGATGTATTAAAAAAGTTCCCTTATTTTATTTACCTATTACCAAGGTAAGCTACATGTATGATGTACATATATAAAATGGTGTATCATAAAAATTTAAAATTAAAAACAAATTAATTTACAATGTTTCTACAAAACTACAGACATATTAAAATACCAAAATACATACTTTTCTAAATTTGGTGAGTTTTCTGAAATACAATAAGGACACATTATTTAAAGAGCCATATATATATTGAATAATACATGTAATAATAATAACAACTAGATGCGATCTCGTTGCAAGCAACGAGTAGGTCTTCCGTCCGAATTTTCGATTAGATGAGATATGACTTTGACTATGATCTTTTATAAAACATCATGGAATCATACCTTTTCTCTTTTGATTAAATTCTTTTGATTTAGGTAATATCATCAATGCGTACTTAATTTGCACATTAATTCTTTTCTTTTTTCTACTTTGAGAAACAACCAAAACCAATTAAAGAAAACTTGTAAGGAGACCTTGGATTATAAATGTAGTTTGACACAGAAATGCAACGAACCTAGGACGTGACAATCCAAGTATCCCTACACATTTCATTGCTCCTTATGTTACTTTCGTTCAAGCAAACGCTCGGCTGCCTCTGTTAACCGCTATTGCGAAATGTCGAAATTGACAGAGACCGCCGCCATTTAGTTCCCGCTTCAGATTTTTGAATGTTAATATCTCGAGTTTGAATTTATAAATTTACAAACGAATTATATATTCAGCCTAATAAGAAATGTTTCTATCAACTATACTAATATCATTTGAAAATATTGAAAAACAAAAAAGTTAAAGACGAGAGACTTTTGGCCCCTCTATACCCCTAATT